ATATAAAGGGGAGGCTGGGTTTTTTAATTATGTTATTCATTTTCTGGTTATCTTGAATATTTTGTTCATCAAAATTGAAATAAAACTAATTTATCAAGAGTGAGTGGTGATGGTGACTTTGGGCAAGAAAACTCTTGACCAGGTTGAGACTAATTCTGACACTTTTTGTAAAAGGACTTGGGAATCTACTCAAAGTAAATTCTAAAAATATATGTATGAGAAAACCTACCAAGTTCAATTCCACAGTTGCATGGGTAGATGTGACAGTGTGTTAGATGACAAATCTGAATAATCAAACTCTGAATAAAGTGAGGGTGATTGAGTGAAATCAAAGGAGTAATGAACTTGGATTTCATTCATCCTTCTCAAATAAGAAAAATCTCATAATTTCATTCTCTCAGTTGGCCCATGTGTTATCTGTTTCGGCTGCTAAGACAAAGTACCGTAGATAGGGTGTGTTAAACAGCAAATACTGATCTCTCTCTCAAGTCACACAGTTCTGGTGGCTGGAAGTACATGGTCAGGGTGCCACTTGGTTGATCACCTATGACAACCCACTCCCTGGTGTACAGATGTCCATCTTCCTGCTGCATCCTTAGATAATGGGAGAGAGAGAGCTGGGGGGTTTTCATTCCCTTGTAAATTTCTTAATACCATCTCCACCTTCTAATGCCATCACCGTGGGGGCTTACAATTCCAATATGTAAGTTCTGAATGGCCACAAACATTCAGTCCATAACCGCCATCAACTGATACATAGCATCACTGATTAAAGATCTTCAACTGGATACCATCCTCACACAGTCAGCTGATTGATGTGAACAGATAAGAGGAACTGAACGTCCTGCCATCTTATAAACCCAGGCTCACACCAACCTAGAATCTAGCCTTAGGTAAAGACCAAATTCAAACTTCTTTCCTTGCATTTTTAAAAAACCTTACCTCACAAGATGTCTGCAATAATTTTCTCTTGCACCACCAATGAATGCTCTTGACTATTTTGGTAAAGATCCTCCTACATTGCCAATTGCCTGGACTCCTTTATCTTACAACAAAGCAAACTTTTCCCCTCCTTCCTGAGTATAGATCTAACCTGGTAAAGGAATATATAGTGCCAATTGGTAGTTGAGTAAATCTCTGATAACTGAGTTTTGTTTTCCTGGTTTTCTGTTTTTGTTTGCTTGTTTGTTTGTTTGACACTCAGTGATCTCTCCAGCAATCTGTTTTGCCTAGAGGCTGACAGTATCTCAGGGGACCTGGATTAGTAAGATTGATTGGAACCTCCAACTTAGCCATTTCCTTACAGAATGGCTACTTTCCTACCTCCTCCTCCCCCTTTCTTTTTTACCTCTTTTTCTTTCCTTCCCCCCCCCTCACTCTGCCACCCTCCCCCAACACCACCGCCACCACACACCCTCTTTTAAACCAGAAAGAGTCAAAAAAAAAAAGTGTATGTCAGCTCTGAACACTTATCTGTGGAGAAGTTGGTACTAAACTCTAGGTATTCAACAGGCATTTTTAAAGACATGAAAATGTTTTACAAAAAAGGCACACAGGTTGGCAGACAAGGGGACAGGTGAGCAGATTTATAAATGGGGTTATTAATCAGTGAGTTCAGTCACTTGTCGGGACAGGTCCCGAAACTTAGTGCAGAGAGATCTCTCAGTTTTGTGTCTTCCATTTTTCAAGCCATTGAGTCGCGATGGGATACTGGCCTCCACTACCATAATAAAACTTCAGCTCTCCACCAAGCCTGCAGGCCAGGCAAGTCAACCACGGGATTCCTGAGCTGCTATTTGCTTCATGGCCTTGCATTCTGGCTCCAAACTCAAGTAACTGCAAAGGCCAGGTGACCTTTGTCCGGTGTGGGCCTTGCCCTGGTGATGGGCTGGCCCTACCATACAGCTGGCATGCTTGTCAAGGGTGGAATGTTCGTCTCCACATGAGCAGGGAGATTATGTGTCAATCGGGGACTTGTCTTCTGTCACAATGTCCACATCATCAGTCTCTCCCAGTGAATCCCTGTTTCCTGGATCGATGACACAAAGTGTCTTTGTGCTGCTGAAATAGTTGTGGCCCTCTCCCTCCTTTTCAGGTCCTTCAGAATCCTCCTCTTCCAGAGTCAGTTCAAACTGAAACTTCTCCATCAGACCCTGGCAGTCTCTGTTTCTTTCGTCCAGTGGTGGGGAGGGACTCTGGGGTATCATGCTCTGATACCAGTTCCTGTTGTCTTCTAACGTGTCCAGAATGTCCTGAGCGTCGGGTTGTACCAGATCTGCCCAGGTCTCCCACAGTGGATGGACAATGTAGTCAATGAAACCAACCTGGAGAAAAATAAGATTACACATCTGTCATTGCAAAGGGCCCTTGAAAATCAAACAAGCAGTCTTGGTTCCCATGCTAAGAGAGAGCCATTCCAACCTCAGAGAGGTCAGTAATACCTATTGCTTTAACAGAGTACTTTCTCTATGGTAGGTCCTACCCTGGATGCAATATATGCAGCATCTCTTTTTCATTTTGCAAAGTAAGTATTGTAGTCTGCCATTTGCAAAAGAAGAAACTCAGGAAATTAAAGACCTTGTAGAGGTCACATAACTAGTAAGTGATAGAGTTGGAACTGAGTCCCAGCTCTGTCTGATTCCAAAGGCTGTGCTCTCACAATATCACACTGCTTTTCCTTTTACATGTTCCAGGTAAGAAGACTGGCTGTAACACTGGTGTTGGGAATGACTGTGTCACTCCTTGGACTCTGTGAGTCATTCTCTGAAGAAGGCAGCCCCAGGTCTAGAGTGTTCTGACTCAACATTCTTTCCCTGATAACTTCAAAATATGCTGTTGTGCCAAAACAACAGGAGCGGGCATCTGTCTGCTCTGGAATTTCTCAAGTTCTGGGGGCTGCTTCTGACTTGTAGAGGAGTTTGATTACAAAAAAGAACCTGAAAATAACTCAAGCCCCGAACAAACAAAGATCCCCTCTATGGAGATGCCTGCCATTGTTTTGGATACATAGGACACATAGTCATTTCCATCAGAAGAGAGAAGGAAAATAAAAACAATTAAGCAATTCCTTTTGCTGGTGTTCCTGTGAATAAATCCAAGGCTTACGGTTTTGTGGTGGTTGGTGTAGGGGCTATGCATCCTGCAGGAGCTAGCCATGTGGCCTCATGTCGACCTCTACATTGTCAGACAAACAGGAAACGTGGGGGTGGGGGCAGGTAGAGAGAGAGAATAGACTATAGTTGGATGAGGGAATGGAATTCCCCTGTCATGGTCTTGGGAGCTAGAGAGATACTGGCTTGGGATTCAGGGGGAGATGAGCAAGGGCCCCCAGGGGACATTACATGGCTATCTTTCCACTCCATTGGAAACTTTCCTGTATTAATATTCTGGTGTTTGTCCAATCATTCGACCTATTCAAGTTGTTACTATATACATAACACTTGATCATATGTGACTCTTTCAAATATCTGGTTCTTTCTTAGCCTTCAAAAACAAGATTCACACCAAAGTTGGGCCATCTGTGATTGACATTGGTTATGACAACTTGACTGTGGATGAGTCAGATACTTCTCTTCTGCCCACATTTCATCCCTCCTCCCTTCTACTTCTTTATGCATATTTAATGGATTTGAGACTATTTTCAAGGTGTTTTCCAGGGACCAGAAATCAGCTCAAGGCAATGGAGAAAACTGAGTGAGCTGAACCCAGTGCTGTCATTTCCTTTCCTCGTTTGCTTTTGTTGCTGCTAAGAAATGCTTAGGACATTTTAAAAAGGTAGGGGCTAGTTGCTTATTTCCTAGCTCATGGGATGAAAGAACCCACAAATTCCAAGAGCACACAAATTCCATGAACTCTTTACTGCCAGATGAATCAGATAAAGTTCAACAGAGGCCATCTGTGGGAAACACCAGAGCGAGGTGGGGGTGGGGTGGGGGGTGATGTCATGGCATCGGGGAGACCTGACCAGTGATGGAGAGTGAAAAGCTTGGGTGGAGGGCAACCGGGTGACTAAGAAGAGAACAGCTGTTTCACTGGACACTGGGGAAACACCTGCTTTATCTGCCTTGCCTAGTTGCTTGGGGATTCACGTAGGATAATATATGGGACCACACAGAACATCATATAAATATAAACCATCACTGTTAGTAAGAAAAATGTAAATTACTTTTTATTTTATCTTGTTCCAGTTAAAGCTCTAGGTTATTTGATTTGGCCCAGATTAATTTAATTATATCTTGAATCTTTATAGCATTTAGATCACTTTTACAGATATTAAACTAATTTAGTTGGATTTCTCTAAGAAGCAACAAAATACTAACTGCAAAGAAACTACATATGGATACTTTAAGTATATACAAATATAGGGCTTACAGGTAGTGGGGAAAGAGGTTAGATGCTAACAAAAATCAGTCCCAATTTTTTTTGTGATGAACACCTTGGATATCCCATAAACCCATTTTGAATAATAGCACCTGGTTCAACCCATTTGTTGTCCTGAAAAAAAAAAAAGCATTTCAGCAGGTCTTGAAGCTATTGTAGGAAGACAGATACTTTCTAGTATACATATTCCACAACTATTAGCATCTGGGGTATTTCTGCAAACACACACCCTCAAAGTATTATTTCCCATTCTCAGAACACAGAATTTGTAGGTTTGGACACAACTGGAAAATGCTAAAATATTCCTAGAGGCACAGTTACAAAGTGGAAAGGGGACACAGACAGGGCTTTGATGCCCTCTGATGATGGTGGCAATGCATTTGATAATAGAGAAAGAGCCACAGCAAAGAACTGGACACAAGAGTGAGGAGTTGAAGATAGAGCTACAAGAATTCTGGAGAAATGGGATGAAGAGACAGCAGTAGTCAAGGATCAGCCAGATTTGCTAAAGTCATAGATGACTATCTAAATGGTTTGGGTATACACAGTCCAAATATTGATGGGTGTCTGGTGACCACTTCATTCCTGCCCTGTGAAATTGAGTGTAATGGAGAAAGCTGATGAGTCATGAGCACAATGAAATAACGGTGTGGCTGTCATTTCATTATTTCATATGTAGAAAAAAGAGAGAGAGAGAGAGAGAGAGAGAGAGAGAGAGAGAGAGATTTTGTTAAAATAAAGAAACCAGATAGAACTCTCCAGTTCTACAAACACTAGAAATCACAAAAATTTCTCCTTTTGAATACCTGGGATTTTTCCACAGAAGCTGTGTGTTTATCACACATTGGGCTAATCTCCATTCCCCTCTCTCGTTCTTTGTCTCCTTGTTGGAAAAATTCCTCCATGATGCGATCTGTCCATTGTCGATACAATTCCAAGGACTTGGTGGGGTTGCTCAGGTCTGCACAGTGTACCATGTTGCGAAGGACCTGAAATCATTGAGTTTTGGAAATCCCATAAAATTAAGTGTAAATACTGCCAGAACATTTTATCCTTCTCTTATTTGTGCACTTAGTACCAAACCAAGAACATTTTAGTTGAATTATAATTATGATACATGCACCAAAAAAAAAAAAAAAGTGTTACAGTGGTGCTGGCAAGAGTTGATTATTTATCATTATGGGGCCCAGAGGGGGATACAGATATAGATATTGACAAAGATATCTTCTTAAACTGATAGTCTTTGAATTTAAGAATTGAAAGGGACACGGGAGTTCAGATGCTGCTATCATTTCCTTTCCTCAGTTTGGAAAGCATCTAAAGAATTACTCAAAGTAGATGTCTTCAATTTTTCTGTTTGTGGAAAGAGGAGACTAGCTGATAGCACTATCTATAACCAAACAGACCTAATAAGTTTTAAGTCAGAGGGATTCAGGTTCAAATTATGAGCTTTGGGCACCAACAGTTACATATGTCCTATTATAAAAAGATTTTGCAACTTATTTTTAGAACTAAGAAATTCAATAAATGGAGTTATGTTTTTCTCATAAATGAGAGATAAATTTGAACATCCATTTTCTTCAGCTTGTTCTTAAAATAAGGCCAAAGTTGTAGCAGCAGCCTAGGACGTATCTAACCGAAGGGTGCTTCCTTTTTCTAGATGTTATTTGTTGTGCTTTGTAACACACCAAAATTCAGCACATACCTGTATACGATCAGTATAGTTGTCCAGAAGGAGAACACCTGAGCTCGTCACTTTCTTTGTTTCTACCATTGTTTTCAGGTCTGCCAGCAGGCTCATGTGTTTAGACATATCAGTTGCTAAAACCTTGGGTAAAAGCAAAATGAAAACTCTCGATAAACTTCGTCTGTAAGACGGTGGAAAAAGTAAATGAGGAATATACAGAGGTTGATTCTTACCATGTCAATAACCATTTTCCTGAGTGTCTGACGTTGCTTCTTGGTGAGATTCTGGAAGATGTCACAGTGCTCTTCTTGGAGCAGTTTGAAACCCACAGCCAGGTGATGGTTTTCCAACACAGACTCATCATTGTACATCAAAGCCAGTTCTGAATCTAATAGATAGGAAAAAATGATGCCTTTAATAAGCATACAATAAAAGTCGTATAATTAAACATGGTGAAATCAGATTTAGTTCTCACTAGATGATTTTAGAACTATGGCCCATAGGTCCTTGCCTCTTAACATAGTGCCTCTCTATAAACAGAAGTAGTCAGTTTCAACTATGCTTCTGGTAGATACTGGCGAATAAGATTTCACTTTGATTAAAATTCACTGTCTCTTAAAATCCTTTTTCAAGTTCTTCTCCACCTCTCATGAAAAATATGACATCAAGTAGAGGCATTCTTGAGCAGCTGAATTGCATTTTTAATCTCAGCTTGTAATTTCCTTTGTTTCCACACATTTCATACTTTGGAAAAGAACAAAGTAAAGATGACACTAAACTTCATCAAGTATATTAAGCTTTCCAAACTATATCCACTTTTATTTTTAAATTTTATTTATGTATTTACTTATTTTGTGGTAATGAGGATTTAACCTGGGGACACTTACTCACTGAGCTATACCCTGAGCCCTTCTTATTTAAAAAAAAAAAATGTTTTTGAGACAGGTTCTTTCAAAATTGTCCAGGCTGGCTTTGAACTTGAGAGTTTCTGGCCTCAGCCTCCTGAATAGCTGGAATTACAGGCATGTAACACTGCGCCTGGCCTATCTTCCCTTTCATATATGTTTCCCTCCATCTCTGGTAATTGTGAGTTTAGGATTTTCAAAAAAGATAAAGTGCTGGTGTGATTTTTTGTTTTACCCAAAGAATGTAGCTTTTTTTGGTGATTTCAGTAAATGTGACACTAAACATCAATAATTTTTTCGAAGAATCCTGATGTTGACATTTCTGCCTTCTGGCTCTCTATACCAGAAAGAATAATATCTAGGTACCTAAATCACAGCTTTCAGCCCACCATTTACACAGAAGAATTGCAGAAATCTTGTGCAGAGCTCTGCACTACAAACCCATGAAATCACGCTTTCTCTTAACAAGCCTAACAACCAAGTGACGTAATGTGTTACAGTCAGAGGTGCTGTTACTCATATACCATTGCTTTCATCCTGTGCTTTGAGTTATGTCCTGAGAAAGGGGATGGGATCTCTGAAGTTATGTGAGTTCCCTTGTTCTGGTCACCCTTATGATCAAGAGCAAGCATCTATAGATGGCTATGGCACAAAAAAGCTTGAGCCTGTGTGGCACTAACTGGCCTGTATCTGGATTAATTTATGAAAGCACGCTTAGCCAGCTGATGCAACCCGTGCAGACAAGCAGCTGGCTGCAGTTTATGTTCTTTCAATAGAAGAACACGTTTTTTTAAAAAAACAGTGTACCCCAAATCCAGATTACTCATTCTGATGATAGAGGATGAGGACTGACAAAAAGGACTCTTTTATAGCAATGAGCTCAAACAGTATTTTTATAAAACTATCAATGCTTGGTGTTAATCATGACCATAATGGGATAAATAATATCCTCAGAAGAAAAAGTACCTGAATTTTCAGCACAGAGAGAGATACAGCATTAACTGAAGGAATGAATGAATCATCAATAGCATGAAACTGAACATTTTGAGCATAACAAAATCTTTGAGTATGATTTGGAATCCTAAGGCTAGACCAAACCAAAAGATAGCTGGGTCACTCTCCTTGGTACAGATCAATCCATGATCAAATCTGCATAATTGGAAAAGGGTGTGTGGAACTTTTAATGGCTTTCCCTTGAATTGTGAAAGGCCATTCCATTGCTTTTTGGGGAATCTTATTTCTGTTTGAAGCTTCTCTGCCTCCCCAGCGGAGAAGGACCCTAGCATGTTATGATGTAGTGTGTGAGAGCCCTACATAATACTGAAAGTTGCAGTATGCATCCCCAAGCCTTTTCTAGTCTTACTGGATAATTCTACACATTACTCTTTCCTTTCCTAATGTATTTTCCAAACTTTGAGCCCTTTTTAGGACTTCCCTCTGACCCTCTCCAAGTTCTCTCTGTAGCCCAATCAATGAGCTGCCAGACTGGACACAGTATCCAGGAAAGGCCTGACCCAATTTGAGTGGAATGGAAGGATTACCTCCTTATCACCCTTGTTATTATCTATAATGAAAACATGAGGAGGAAGAAATGCAGTGAATCAGACAATTATCTCAAATGCCTTTTTCTAGTAGTGAACTCACTTGTGTTGATGAGAAACTGATTGGAGACTCCAGGGTGATCCACGTCGTGGATGGCAGCCGCAAAAATGGCAGCCAGGATTTCTAAATCGGTGAAGACGGCCTGTGGAGCAAAGTGAGGGAGTTTAATGCCATATCCAATTCACCTGTCCTGCTCGTTCAATTTCATTTGAAAGTAATGTACTTCACTCTTGTTGGGAAAGGGATTGTTGATGTATATAATATGCTAATTTAATTAAATGCAGAATCTGTTCATCAGCCTAGTCTTTGTTATGAAAGCGACGGTGGCCAGAGCTCACTCCCACATCAAGCCCGCAGGCTGAGGTTTGGAAGGTCATTAGCACCATGCTCATGGCATGTGAATACCTGATGTCTGTTTCTTGGATCAGTGGTATGGCAGCACAGTGCTTATGGAACACAAGCACATACAAGTCAAAGAAGCGAGTCAGACTGGCTCTGCTCTTTATATTCAGGCTGAGTAACTTAAGAGGAAAAAAGGTTAAATTCCAGACTCGATAAGATAAGCAATAAATTATCACTCAAAGCTAAATTTATAGTGTTGTCCCAAGCTGTCATATATTCATTAATTCATTCATTTAATTCCTATCCACTCAATCTCCACCACAGGCAAGATCTGAGAATGTTACCAAGAAGTGAAACTTAATGCCGACTGCTCAACAACTTCATGTCATGTCATGAGAGTGTCTCTGTCCCCACCCAGGCACATTGATTTAAACCTGGTATTTATTAGGTATACATTGTTGCTGACTGTAGGACAGAAATGTCTCTCCTGATCCTCTGTGATTACTTAAATCTTCTAGGCCTTCAAATGCCAGCTCAGCTTCTACCACTCCCCCAAAGACCAATCCTATTACTCATGGACATATTACACTTTCCTTTTCTAGAAGCTTGTGGCACTCATAGCCAATTTCTTGCCACATGATAGTTATCCTATCAATAACACTGCAAGGGTTATAAATGGTGTTGTTCTGCTCCATGATATTTATAGGAGCATAAAAACAATACTCTTTCTTTCCTTCCGGGGATTCAAACACCCTTAGTTCCATCTCACTTGCCCAAGTCTTTTTGGATTCCTTTTCTTAGAAAATATGAAAACAAGTGACAGAGTTCTGGACAGTTTAATCTATCTTTAATTTCTAAAGTGAGTCTGAAAATGTGACTGGATAGGGTTTGGCTAACCCCTTCCTGAAGTGGGTCAGTACATTTTGGAAGTATCTGACCACCATTTCCACATGCCCAATGATAGCATGGCTGGGCCATTGCTGATTGTACTGTTAAATAGGAAAACGTTAATCTGTGAGAGAGGGAGTCATGGCCATCTCTTCAGATCTTGTCAAGTTACACAGAACATGGTTCCTCCTTGCTTCTACATTATTGATTTCCTCTGATGGAGATTTTCAGTTACTTTTTCTTCAACCTAAAGAATCAGTTTGCAGAATTTCTAGAAGAATAAGCCTATCGATGCTTATTCCTAATAGGAACTATACAGAGCATTGTAGAGTATATTTCTATGATCCTCCACAGGGCCTGTGATGGTGTTGGGCAATTCTGATCAGTGCAAGCAGGTTGAGGATGTATGATAAACCAGATGTTAAACAAGACACGGAGATACAATGTATCCCTTTACCAGGAATACAATGAAGAACAAAGCTTGGACCCTGCTAATTGTTTGAAAATTAAATAATTTTCAATTGGAAGGATGTAAAGGGAGGGTTCTTCTGATAGTAGAGAGCAAAGTAAGTAGAGATGTAATACCTTTTTATAAATAATCCAATGGATGGATGCTATATGTAACAAAGAAGCAGTTCAAGAATCTGAGGTCACCCACTTACATTATTTTTGTAAATATATTGCATATTGCATGGCACTTTTAAAAGAGGTGGAACAGGTATGAAAAACAGGTTATAATTACTCACATCTAATGCTGGCGTAGAAAGAAGAACATGGGTTGACTGGGCTACATCAGCAGCGTGCAGGCTGTTATGATATGCCACGTCAGAATGGTAATGGTCCTCTAAAGTCATCATGTAGGTTACAAATGTGTCAGATGAAATTTTGAATGTCTTTAGGAGGTCTCTTTCCTATGTGGTAAAATGGTTTAGAATATGAATAAGCAGATGTCCAAAAATGGAGGAAGGTGGGGCTGGGGATGGAGCTCAGTGGTATAGCACCTGCCTCACATGCACCAAGCCCTGGGTTCAAGGTTCAGTCCCCAGCACCACACACACACACACACACACACACACACACACACACACGAGGAATTCAAATTACGAAAAATAAACTGTGATAGAATAAATATATCACAAAGAGATATTCAATTGGATAACCAACATTCATTCCTGTTTACTCACCTGAAATATGGCATACATGATGCACGTTAGGGGCCGATTGTGAGAGTATCCAGCCACATTAAAGATATTAAGGCCCCATTTATTCAGGTCTTCAAGCTCCTGTAATTCAAATTAGAGAAATTTAGGAATAAGGATAATTTTTAATATTTTCTTTTAGAGATGAAGGGGTCTTGCTGTGTTGGCAACACTGGTCTCAAAACTCGTGAGCTCAAGTAATCCTCCTGCCTCAGCCTCCCACGCAGCTGGAACTACAGGAGTGAGTCACCATGCCCAGTTTTAAATATTTTAAAAAATATTTTTAAGTTTTATTTTTTGGGGGGCTGGTGTTATAGCTCAGGGGTAGAGCACTTGCCTAGCACAGGTGAGGCACTGGGTTTGATCCTCGGCACCACATAAACATAAATGAATAAAATAAAGGTATTGTGTCCATATACAACTAAAGATTTTTAAAAAATTGTTTTCTTGGACATTGGGTACCTAAGTCCTCAGAGCATTTATGTAGTGTGCTCTAGCTGCATGAAAATCTGAGAGTGGAATGGCTCAGGAGGCTGGGTGTCCTTATCATAATGACAAGTTTGTGCATATTTTTTTTTTTTTTAGAAAAGAAACAGTGTGTCTTCATTTGTAATAATTTTGTTGCTGACCAACTCTGCCATGCGTCACTCCTCAGCCATTGTTGCTTTTAAAGATAGCTGCAAGTGAATAGAGATCACTCTGGTCCCATTTCTCTGATTCTCCCCTTGCTTCTCACTGGTCCATCAGTAACAACTAGAAAACGGCACCAGGGAAACTCCTCTACCCTTTGGTTATTATCACTAAATTCAGGTCAGGGAGACTCAGCTGTCAGAATGTGCAGAAATAGGCCCCAATTTAATGCAAAAGGTCAGAAAGAATGCTGTTCTTGAATTTTATTCCAGGGCTCCGAGGCCACAGATAGACCTGGAGGAAGCAACATCCAGATCTGTGTTGTGGGATTATTCCAAGATTATCTGATTTAAGGAACAACTTATTCCATACTTAATAACTGCCCACAGGCTTGGCCCCATGTTTAATCAATCTTACTCTAATGACAGCTTTCAGCAAGTCTCACTGAATGATCATTTCCCCAGAGTGAGCTCCTTTCATTCACACTCTCACCAGGCTACGTGACCTCAGCAGTCATTTTGTGTTGCCTCCTCAAAGATATATGAATTTTTTCTGTGCCTTCTTCCAGTGTGAGGGTTTGGGAAAAGGAGCCAGTGCTGTCCCTGTCTCCTCATTTCTCCTCTGGCCCTGTCAATCAGTGCAGATTTTCTCCCGGCCCCTAGCATAGAGTTCCCAAAATATCCTCTGGGATAATTCAGACCTGCTCACTGGCTTTCCCTTGGACTTTCCCTGTATTCTTCAGAAGGATGCTCCACTCATAAGGAACTATCCACTACTAAATTCAATTCAGGATAAAAGAGGGGAAAAAAAAAACACAAAAATTTGGTATGGAATAAGGATCTTCAACCAGGTGCCCCAGCATAGACAAAAGAGAACACAAAAGACCAGGCACAGTGGCACCTGTCTATTATCCCAGCTACTCAGAAGGCTGAGGCAGGATTTCAAGTTCTAGGCCACCTGGGTTCCATAGTGAGACCTGTCTCAAAATAAAAGATACAAGGCTGGGGATGTACCTCAATGGTAAAACACTCCTAGGTTCAATTCCCAGTGTAGCCAAAAAAATTAAAAAAATTAAAAATAAATGTCATGTAGGACATAAGTTTCATTATCATAAAGTTTAACAAAGTAGAAGTGATTCCTACTATTTTCTAAATGATGACGGGGGGGCCCCTGTGTGCTGTAAAGTTAAGAGCCACACGCACACAATCCCAGCTCATGCGCACCTTGGCCAAGTGATCTTCATTCTCGGTGTTGACTCCAAAGCGGGAGATGCTCGTATTGTTTAAGCTTGAACTGTGCATCAGTTTCTTCACTCCGCTTATCTGTGTCATGAGCTGCTGCTTCTTTTTCTTCTCTCTGTCTTTCTGGGTGGGAGACGGGATCTCCACATCATTCTGCTTGTCTACAACGGACAAAGAAATATGTTTTTAAGTTCCAATGAGTAGGCCCAGAGATATTCAAAATAACGCTAACTGTGGGTAATGGATTCTGACTCCAATAAAGAACTCTCATAGCATGTTCTCACTGGATAAAATATGGTCTGTTGCTCCATTTTATGCTAGGTGAACTGAGACCCAGAGGAACGAACTTGTCCAAGAAGAAACAGGGAAAGAACCCAAGCATAATCTTCTGTTCTTCTGTTCTCATTTAAAATTTTTTTGTTACAATGAGGTCACAGCATTTGAAAAAAAAAAAGTGTCTAGCTGCTCTAAAAGTTCTTTATTTTATGCTATTAAAAATTTCAGCCATCAACTATTCTATTTCATAGTAGATGTATCCTGAGTACTTCTGGAAAAAAAAAAAAAACATGTCTTAACTCTTTCAGGCCACAGAGATGGCTGTGAGGGCACAGAAACAATAATTGATTAAATTGCTTAACCACTACTTCATTGAACTAAATGACACCCTGTGGCCGAGAAAGAGTTAATGCAGCTTTCAGAAGTGGCGGACATTTATCTCTGCTTGTTACAGTGAAAATTAGTACAAAGACAGCTTCTCCATTTGAAAATGACATGCTTCCAGATGGCATGCTGGCATCCACACTATCTGCGTTTAGACTCTTAGAGATGACAGCACAGTCATATGCTTTCCCCAGGGACCTCTGCCTGCTCACAGGCCCGGCTGACACTTCATCAAAGCAAAGTGAGACAGTACCAGCTTCACCTTCACCTTGCCACCTGGCGACAGGGCCGGAACAGGGTATTCTCTATTCCCAGCACACCCTGATGTGGTCTGTAGGGGATCCAAGCTCTTTAAACTATAGCTTTTACTTAGGGAATAATTTTAGTCATCTCAATTAGTTCAGGGGTTTCCAACTTAATCCAGAATCAGAAGCACCCAGGAAACTTTCAAAATATACAGATTGACGGGCCCCACCCAGCTCTATTGAAACAGTATTTTTTTAAAGATTCCCCTATGACTTGGATAAACAAAACCAAATCTAAGAACCGATGACAATCACACACTCTTATTTTTCAGATGAAGTCAGCAACTTGACCAAGCTCAAAGAACAATTTATTTAACAATTTTTTTTTATTCTGCAATTACGTTGTTCCAGATAAAACTATTTAAGAGCATAGAACCCAGGTCTTGAGGTTCCTGTTAAAAATCTTTTTCCTGCCATGCAATCTCTGGCATAGAAACCATACATTATTTTTGAATAATAATATTTCTTCCTGTCACTTTATGCCTAATAATCACAACTTTTTCTAAAATGAAATGCCACAATAACCCCTGCCTTTCCTGGCAACCATTTTTTCACATCTGGTTAAGAGGCTGTGAAATTCCCCTATACCTCTGCAGATGTAATAACCATCTCTAGTGGGACTAGCAGCTTTCCCCCTTTGTTTAATTAAAGAGTCCCTGCAACAGTGAGTAATTGAGCTGAACTACTGCTGTGTCTGGAACATTGCAATAAAGAAGAAGGTCATTATTCACAGAGTGCCAATTCGACTTTAATGGGAGTTTCCCTGTGCAAGCATTGGAACAACTGATAGGCTTCCCTGTTCTGAATTTCCTCTGTTAAATGCTTAGCCAGCATAGGATGGAAACAGCCTGAGACACAGACTCAAAAAAAAAAAAAAAAAAAAAAAAAAAAAAAAAAAAAAAAAAAAGCACAAAAAACACAGTGAATTTACATATACAGAATGTCCAGAATAGAGTGGGGGAAATGGTTGGCCACTGTAAAACAAACATAAACAGACACAAAATAATGGTATCATCCAATCTCTTTCAATGGCATAATCTGAGGTACTTTGCTTGCTGAAGCCCAGCAGCATTTTACATCTGGAATATTCTAAGTTCTAGCTTCAAGACAGTAAGTAAGGAATTCAAAAAGATATTTTTTTTCTCTTGTCTGTAAAAACATTAAATTGTCATGTAATATCGAAAAATCTTGTTTTATTTATGTTCTCTCCATCTACATCCTGCTTTATTTTCCCATGAAATTATATTCTTCTATTTCTATTTGTGCCAGCAACCTGGAGCCCATCATCATACAAGAGCTGCAACACATATCTGGACTAGTAATTAGGACACCATCTTTTTAGATGGAAACCACACAAGTTTCACAGATCCCCAGATTAAGGGAATTCCCTCCTCCCAGGATGATGCATTTTAACACTAAATGACGCTTATTGAGATATTGCTTTTAAGTTTAACATTGCTAAAACCATCTCATTTTGCTCAGAGATGATTGCCATGCTCTGATCAAAGCCTTTTATAGTATCAGAAACTGTTAATAAACATTTCATTTTTAGGTCCAACAATTCTGTTTCCTAAAGACATTTTTTTCCCAAACAATGTGCATATTACTCATGTCATTTTCTTCTCTGTGTTCCGACTTCCTATCAGGAGTGGTAGGTATTTCGGTCTAGAAATCTAGGTGCTGGTTCTGGCTCTGAAACATATTAGCCAAGTGACCTAGGTTGATTTCTGTCATTCTTCTGGACCTCAGTTTTCTCTCTTATAAAATGAGGAAGTTATACCATGAGAACATTAAGGTCTTTTGTAGACATGGCAGTCTATGAAGAAGGCTTCATGGTCACCTGGAAACACTTATCATGCTCAAAAGATATGACTAAGAGTTCTAGGTTCTGCACTGGCAGTTTGGAAATAAGCTTTATTTGTTTGTTCATTTTTTAAGACTGTCAAATTGCAAGGCTAGGCTTTATCACAGAGGACCCAGGTTGCCAAGCATGTCTTAGTAAAACAGATAAATTTAGTCCATTTGAGAATCACAGAATGTTTGAGTCGGAAAGGATATGGAATGTCATCTATCCCCGTGCTCCCATTTTACAGATGGAGCAACCAAGGCATCTTGTTTTATATAGTTTTTCTTCCTTTATTTTCCCAAGAATTCCAATATACCTGTCTAGTCTGTTAATTGGGGTTTAGCACACATATATTCTCCTGTACACCATCCTCTTAATGCTAAGAGCATGTAAGGATTGGGATTCTAATAACTTTCCTCAACAATTTGTTCTTGATTGTTTAATTTTCAGAATAATGAGAAGCCAAAAAATTGGTGTTCCTTAAGGGATATGCCTATAAGTGACTTAGTGAAATCATGTCTCAAAATAAAAACTAATAAGGGATGGGGATACGGTTCAGGGGCTAAGTGCCCCTAGGTTCAATCCTTGATATGAAAAAAAAAAAAGGTAGACATCTCTCTGTTCTTGACATATAGTTTTGAGACTGAAAGTTTATCTGTATATTTTTTTTCTTTTTCTTTTTCTTTTTTGGTATCAGGAATTGAACCCAGGGGTGCTTAACCACTGAGCCACATCCCCAGTCTTTTTTTTTACTTTATTTAGGGATGAGTTGCTTAGGGCCTACCTAAATTGCTGAGGCTGCCTTTGAATTTAGGATCCTCCTGCCTCAGCCTCCAAGTTGCTGGGATGAAAGTCTTGTGCCACCATGCCCGGCCTATCTTTATATCTTATGCAATTTCCCTCTTGATAGCCAATGATGATTTAAAAAGAGATTAATTAGTATACCCAGGCCTTCTTGCTATCCCTGGTAAATGGATGTTCCAAGAGACTAGGAATGAAGAGGATTGTTTTGAAGGATTAAGGGCTCAGACTTCATGGATCTTTAATAGTGAGAATCTCTTATTTCTGTGTGTATATATGTGACTGCATGACCAATGTGATTCTGCAACTGTATACTCAGAAAAATGAAAAATTATATCCCATCTGATTCAAATATATGATAGGTCAAGGTCATTGTACTGTCATGTGTAACTAATTAAAACAAATAAAAAAAATAGTGAGAATCTTTTCTGCAAAGACATATAAGCCATTGCATTTTAACATTTAACTAAAACAAGTTATTGCACTTAATTAATTTTATTCTTCTCTCCTGTAGTCAATAACCTGTAAAATGTAACTAAAACAGTACCCAGCTTATGCAAAATAATTGAATGTTCCAAAGAGTAGGATTTATGAAATGGTCAATGGAAGATTCCTGTATTCAAAAGAATACAGGAGAAAGCGGGGGAAAGAAAAGGCTCAATATGTCATGTTCCCTCTTCAATTAGATCCTAGACAATTCTGGGAGATAGGAGGTATAAAAAATTCTTCCTCTTTGTTCTCTGACGAGGTTGCTGCAAATGCAGCTGAAAAAATCCAAGGGCTGCAGATACATATAGAAACAGAAGGCACTTGTTAATCCTGCTCAGAGACCATTGGCTGCACAGTAACGTGCCAGCTTTGTACTAGGCTGCTCAAAGAGAAAGCTGATTGATCTGCTGCTGATAGCAGGAACTGCTTTGGTGTTAAAGAAATAGGATTGATCTTTTCATTAACAGAACTAAAGAGATATGTGCATCCATAGGCATCAAGGCAGATGCTCATTGATTTAATGATATGTGACTATTCCAAAAAGGAGAGTGTGATGGTCAGCTGTTACAATGGGTCATTTCCCTGGAAAATGGAATTTCATAAGCTAGTCTAACTCAACACTAATTGAAAGTCAACAGAATAAATATCTAAATGCTACCCATTCACTTTGAAATACAGATTTGCCAATTCTCGAGGCCATATTAAAGAAGTCAAAATAGGTTCATTTTACAACAGAATTGCCTTTAAGCCTGAGATCAGAAATCCCTAATAATCAAACAAGATGCATGATGGTAATTGAGGGTCATTCATGCAAACCTTTTTGGTCAGTGTCGTGTGTTAATGTAACAACGGAGAATGATAGGTAAAGGATCAGCAGACAATGATGCTGCTTAGAGAAGAATCAAATCTTTTAGAGATATGAAAATTCTCCTCTTTCCCACTGTTTATTTTTAAGAAATAACTTAGCAAAGCAGTAGTCAAATTACTTCCAAAGCTAGTTCTCTAAACTCACTATGGAATTAGTCTTCCAGCGTATCCCTTAAAAAGCACCTTTTTCTCAAAGCCCAGTTATTGGAAGAATGGAAATAATACTGTGTCAGAGGAGCTAATGGAGTTGTCACTAGGGTTTGGGGAATTGCATGTTCTGTGCTACTTCAGAGATCTTGGCAGAGATGGAATTGGGCTGGTAGATAAGAGGGACCTACAGTCATATAAGTCAGCCCATAATAAACGTCTGTCTTTAATAGCATTTGTATTCATTTCTATTTATTAACTTAATAAGCATTTGTACTCATTTCCCCCCATCATTTTCCTGCTTAATTTTTTTTCCCTTAAAGATTGGCTTCAGTTCTTATTTTAAATGGATTTTTTAAAATAACTTAGCCCCATTCCAAATTCACATGGAATATCCTTGATGGGTTGTGAAATTAATCTTGAAAAAGTTCAGTTATGAGACAGCTTTTTTCCTTTTTAATATCTTACCTAAGAAAGTATTTGAAATGTATTCAGACACCTGGTTCCCTGATCGGCTCATCTCTGAGAGATGTGTCAGCTCCCGGTTCAGCATTCTTTTGAACTGTTTGTAAAGAAGAAAAAATGCATTAACCACCTAAAGAAAGAGCAAATTATCACTTTAAATGTTTCTAACTTTACTTTCTAGGAACCAAGAAACTGGACTAGCACCAAGAAACTGGACTAGCAGATACTGTTAGATAAATGATACCGATTCTAAAGAACATAATATCCCCTTAATTTGAAATTATTCCAACGTCACTTTAGGAAAGAAGGTTTTCTTAAGATATTTTAGAAGTAACAACTGATTTTTTTTTGAATATTCAAACACAGGAAAATAAATTCCATAGAGGTCAAAAAAATTTTTTTTTACTTGAAAAATGAAATCGCTTTTAAAAATACATTTGTGGACAATTAACTCTAAAATATAATTGAGTTGATAACCTATTCAGCGTAAGGAGAGTAGATGTAAAGTTTAAAGGAAAACAAAAGCATTCTTTAAATATTAAGTTGGGTAAGAACAGGATTAAAATACATTACTGTATATTTAAATACAATTTCACAATCAGAAGCCAGTGGGTTAAATGAACACACAAATCATTACGGATGTTTTCCACTTCACAGAAAACATACAAATGTAAAGGTTTCACATTCTATCACACACAAAACACAATCGAATTAACCCACCTTGATATAACCCCAAGATACAGATAACAAATAGTTTGCCTCAGGCATTTTGAATGCTCTTCTTGATACAATCCACAAATCCCTTTGAAAGAATTCAGTTCTGAGAGAGAGCAATCCCAAAAGGATCAGGAAAGCCCTGCAGATCCAGTGGTAAAATAATCAAAACTTAGAAAAGACAAAGCCTCCAAAATTTATGGCATTTCCTAATCCAAACAAAGCCCATCACGGCACTCCGTTCTTGTTAGAAGCCTATGCTCCCTGCTTATTTCCTGGCAGAAGAGAGTAATGAAATCAGGAATTGTACAGAGGAGCAAGAGTCTGTCCAAATGCATTCAGCTGGCTGGCTTGAAACACTTATCAATTATGAAGAGTCCTGGTGGCCGCGGGGGGTTTCCACCCTAGATTAGTCCTACTCTGCTGAACTCTGCAAGGAGGCAGCAATTCTCCAGGCTGGGAAACACAGCCATCTTTTTAAAAGGAGAAGATTAAAATGGAGGAAGCCCCATGAATATTTAAGTAAATTTGAAGTCCCACCCTCCCCCATTTCAACTAGGTATTCCTTAACCCTCTCTTTCCATTGCAGATCAGCCCTTTGAAAATGCAGCCTCCGCACAAAGCTCAGACACTCTAATTGTCTCAAAGCGATGGTGCATTTGATTAATTCACTTTCTGGGTTTTTTTTTTTAATTGAAAAACGTCAGGAATGTAGTTGTTTTCAGACTATGCTTCCAGTATACAAGATTTTCTTTTTTTTTTAACTAGCTTTTTGTAGGGTTATGTGCCCACCAACAGTGTGCTGATGCATTTAGCCTTCTTTCACAATAAAATGAATGGGAATGGAATTAATTTATTTTTTGAAAAGTACTTCCTTATGCAGCCTGCAATTTTCTGCACTCTATCAGTTCATTAATATGCATGGTAGATCACATTCAGCAAATGGATTAAACTCATTTAACCTTTCCCTCCAGGATTTAGAGTGTGTTAGGAAATACAAGATATTTGCTGAGTGAACCATGAACAACTATTCAGGGTTGAGTGACTTGCTGGTTTTGTACTTTAGTGTTACATCCTCTAATTCATGTTAGAAATAATTAGGAGTTAAACTAATTTTTCTTTTAACAAGCTAGGAGATGTTGAGAATGTCATTCCTTTCCTGTAGGCTCCCCTGCAGCCCGCCGCCCCCCACCCCACCTTCTCCTTGTCATCATTATTGCACAAGAAAGAGGAAAAGTGGAAGAGCTGACTGCAGTGGGATTCCCCACCCAGGCCCACTCAGCTCCTCTCTTCCCTCCCCTCTGTTATCCTGCCCTAGACTCCCAGGAGCTCTGTACAGCTTGTTGAAGGAATAGTCGAGTGCCATGGCAACAGCCTTAACTTGCAATTGGCTCTCTTTCCTGAGAGGCATTCCCCTTCCAAATGAGCATCCTGCTTCCGACAATAGCTTCACTTCAGGCATCCAAGCCCGGGGTCATGCCATTGCCTGTGCCCAGGAGACCTGGCCTTTTGAGGTGAAGCCAATGCAAATCAGTAGGGCTGCCTGCTGACTTACTGCACTATGCATTGTCCTCAGAGAGGCTCTATCGCCCTCTTTCTGGGTAATCCTGCTTGCATATGTATATGTTTTCCCATGAGAAAATATGTTAGTAACAGTAACCAGGCATCATCTGAATCAATCATCTCAGCCACTGTATTTTACTTGTTGAAATTCTGCAATTTTGAACTGCAGGTAAATTGCATAAATTCCAAGCTACTTATTTTTAAAGATGCAACTGGTCTGTCACAATGGCCTCTCATCTTCTGTCCTCTAAGACTTCTACGTGGAAGTCTTAGAAGCTAGAAAAAGCAGGTTTATATGCTCTGACTGATCTGCTCAATTTTAGCAAAGAAGCAAACTTTACTTAGACCATTGTAAAAATATCTTGTAAAAAGCTTAGAGGCAGATGATTTCCTCCCTAATTTTTTTTTTTCTGTACCCGACTTAGCCAAATGAAACAAACAATTATCCTCCATTTTATTTCTTTGGAATCTCTGAAATAGTTGGAGTCAATCTGTCTTGCACTAATCAATAATCCCATTTTACCAAGTATTTAACAAATATTTATTGAATGTTCAAAATGGCCAAAGCAGTGGAGATAGAGCAGTGAAAAAAAGCAAACAAACCAACAAAAATTCTTTTCGTGCTTTTAATCAGCTTTCATTTAAGTAGAAATACTGGGAAATATTAGGGTGTGTTGGTTAACCACAACAGTTAACAGTCTGGAAGAGGGGGCTTGTTCTTTATTAGCTATATTGACCCCTCAGCTCAGGGAGATAGGAGCAGGTAGAAAACAAATCATAAAACGTTAGAAGAGGCAAGATTTTTCTCCTCATTTTTTTTTTTTTTGTAACTTCCCATTGCCATAGGGGGCCCCTGTTGGGATATATTGTCAATAAGTCTCAATGTGGGAACAGGGAGGTGACTCTCATCTCCAGCTTCTCTCTTCTCTTGCATACTTAGAAGGGGTCCCTGTAGTCATGGAAGTAGTGAACAAATACTACTTCCCTTCTTCCCACACTCCAATTAATTCTCCTATGAGTCTTGCTAAGGGTGTGGCAATGCCATCAAAAACCAAAGTCATCTTTAAGCAACCATAAAACACAACGTGATGAAGTACGCAAAAGGAGGTCACTCAGTGTCAGAAGCCAACCCACTCCTTTAAGTGTTGCTTAGCAACAACCGTTGGTTTTCCTCCTCCATAAGGGAGGGCCCAGCCACAAGTGACCAAAGCAATCATTGCTCTCATCATAAAAACACTTATGAAGTGCCACACTTATGTTGGGCTGTGTATGAAGGAAGGAGGGGGGGCCAACGTGGCTTTAAGGACAGAGGGTATCGAGGTAGAGTCCAATTTGTATGATTAGCTCTGGCCTGTGTGACCAGACACATCAAGGAATGGAATGGATATGACATATATATGAGGTTAAAGCTGGGAAGACACTTGAGGAACTCAGTTTGTTTAGGCTTTCAGAATCTGACTCTCAATTTGGAGTTGCTTCTGGTGAGCTAGAGAGGTGGCCATGATGCGGTCAACGAACCTTGACTTTCATTCTCAGTTCTTACTACCGGTCTCATAAAGCCACTTCACCTCTCAGATGTGAAATGAGAAAGATGCATGATTTTAGGATCTCAGTTTCTCGGCCCTGAGCTTTCATGATTCTCAGATAAATTTTGTGGCAGCCTCCTACAGTTTGAATGCATTACTTACCAGCAAACAATACTTCCCAGAAAATAAAACTCCCTCTACAATACCGAGAAAATAGCAAAGAAGGAAAAAAAAAAAAAAAAAGGGAAATGCTTCATTCTGTAAGAATAAGTCACCAACAAAGGAAGAGAGCTATTTATCATATCTCAGAATTTTCCAGTCTAAGACTCTTGGAGTCTCCTTGTCTATCAAGTTAGGTGTTTTGAATACGAAGGTAAAATAGCTTCTGAGTAAAACCATGCCCCTAGGAATTACGGGATTGAACATTATTTAGTCTATCAAATTCAGTAAAGAAATCCATAAAACAGGAGCACACTATTTCAAAGATAAATGTGTCTCCACTATATGTACACAGATCCTATTTTCCTTTAAGAATCTGCCTTCACACACACAAAAAAACCCCTGCTAGAGCCTACCTAGAAATAATGTCCCCAGAGTAAATGACCAAAGCCCCTTTTCAACACAGACAAGCAAAGTTTGTGAATGAACCCTTAGAAGACATATTCCTCCAGTGCCTACCAAAGTTTATGCCTAACATTGTAAGCATTGCTAAGAAATTAGTTATTTTTTTATAAAGGGTAGAAGGTACTAACTTTTATATAAAAATTTAATATTGTTTGCTAAGGATACCTTCTCTGTAAAATCAGCTATGATTTTTTTTTTTAAATAAAGCTTCCTTCAATAATAGAAGTTGTTTTAAAAAGACACTAAATAGCAATAGCTAAAATTCAGTCACACTTGATAGTGAAATTTTGTTTCATGGCTTCAATTTTTTCTCTGGTTTCATTATTACATATGGAGGTTGTTTTCTTCTGAGCCAGTTTCTTCTAAAGTGATGGAACACTTCAAAGGACTAACTTAAGGTTTATGCAAAGGTCCACAGGCACATGAGACACTATCTCGATATTGAGTTATTAGTTAAACTAACCACACAGGAAAGGTGGACAGGTATGGTCTCAAAGTCTCCATAAATCTAAAATTTGTTGATTTTATGTTTCTCAGAATAAAACAATCCAGGAGAGAGATAACTGCAGGGAACTAATATCAAGAATGTGGAAGAGCTGCTATTAAGAGTAATCTAGCTTTGTTAGGGGTAAATCCTAAGTGATTAAAAAAAAAATACCCTTCAGCCTGT